ACTGTACCAGGCCCTTTATTTCTACGTGAGAGAGAATCAAAGGAACGTCTCGCAGTTGCATATTAATTTTTATGTTTCTCGTGTTTAAACCTACTATAAATCTGCAACGTACGTTTTATAAAATAAAGCGAATTCTCTGTCTGTCCTGTTTGCAAAAAATCGTATACCGTCGCCGTGTGTGTCGCAGTGACTAAACTAATTTAAAAATTCACTTTCACGTTGATGTAATTTTAGCATGTACAACGCACCTAACAATATTATCTTTTTTTTTTCTCGCAGTTTAACCTAACCTATGAGTGAGAATTTATTTTTATATTTGTTGTTGTTATTTTTTTCCAACATTTTATATTATATTTACTTTCAACTATCTACGTTACAATATTAGTTACTAGGCAAAAGTGTTGTATTGACGTGCGCCTACATGCACGCAACTGTAACAATATAAAAAAAAAAAAAAGATCAATAAATATCAACTTAAGGTATATTTCCAAACAATGTTTACACGTTGTAAAAGCGCAGAATTGTGCAGGTGCGGATCCAATGGTAACTGGTGAAGGGGCGCCCCCAAAATCCCCATATAGAATTTTTTTACACATGGCAAAAAAAAAAAAGTTATTCAATTATTTTTTATTTATCATCTAAGAAACCTAAGCTCTTCGTACGTTCAAAAATATTCAATATTTATAAACAGTTTAATATCGTACGCAGAGACGTATCGAAGGGGGTGGCAACATTTTTAGGTGATATTGAATAAAAAAACAAATCGGTTTTTTCGCATTCTGAATGGGAAATAATTTATGAACAATAGATAAATAAAATTATATGAAAAATAAATGTAATACTATAAAATGATTTGTATTTTTTAGTAGTGTATAAAATGTATGTTTATTTGAGGGAATTTTATTGAGATAAAGGTGTTGGTTTGATCTTGATTTGTATGAGAATAGAACATAGAGACCGAAGGGTACCTACCACCAGTCTGTGTTATGAAAAAAAAAATGTCTATAATAATAGTTAATTAATTAAAATTCAGTTATTACTTTAGATATTATGTTAATTACAAATATTGTATAATAGTTTACTAAAATGGGGAAAATAAATTGTGACCGCAGCGAGCAGATTCTAAATGAAAAGTTGAAAACACTTGTTCAGTTTTGCACTCAAGAGAAGAGGGGCGGTGGAATGTTGTTGCCCTTGAGCGGCAAAATGTAATACACGGTCCTGATTGTACATAATCGGTTATAATTTCTTGTACACATACAAATCACACACCAATAATTGTGTTGTATCTTGAATAAATTTATAATATATGTACAATGTAATGTAGTAAAAAATATTGAAAAGTTATCTCCTTTGTTACAGAAATTCGTTGATCGTCGGGCGTCGAGACGATAATTGTTGTGAAAAAAAAAACGAGTTTATAAATATAAATTTTTTCGTGAAACATTAAATCATTAAGATTAAAATTCCTACGCAATACAAACGTAACTTCTTAAAATTTTAGTTAGGTTGTAAATTTCTGTTGCGAAGATTTTCCTACTTAAAACTTGGTTAAGTGCAAGAACGGGAGAAGAAAGATTGACAGGAATGGCTCTTATGTATATCTATAAGGAAATAAATATTGACAGTGAAAGTAACGCGAAAATTATAATTAACAGATTGTCTAAAGAGAAACAACGAAAACTTGATTGTGTATGATAAAAACCAAGTATACTATTAATTCTTAATACCATGATATAACAATTTCATATAACATATTTCAATTTCTGTTGGAAAGATTTTCCTACTAAAAACTTGGTTAAGTGCAAGAACGGGAGAAGAAAGATTGGCAGGAACGGCTTTTGTGGATACCCATATGGATATAAATATTGACAGTGTAAGTAACGTGAAAATTATAATTAACAGATTGTCTAAAGAGAAACAACGAAAACTTGACTTTGTATGATAAAAACCAAGTATACTGTTAATTCTTAATACCATGATATAACGTTATTCCTTCAATTGTTATACGTTGTCATTCCCAATGCTACTACTAATCATACATATATCCTATTTGTACATTCATGCCCCCCCCCCCCCCGAACAAATTCTGGATCCACCACCCGTACTGTAGTCCTTCTATCGGTGATTTGTAAGCGCTTTGTGATATCCACAGTATTTGGAATACGTGATGTATTAATTATTCGTGCAAGAGCGCGTTTACCGTGCGGGTGCTATTGTTTGTCTTTTCGACCGTCGTGAATGATAAAAAGGTGAACGCGGACTCGATCGAATTGGCTAGAACAAATAAAATTGGCGATACCCGTTTGCGTACATTTAAACTCTTCTGCGAATCGTTTGCGTACATATGTACAACTCAATAATGCACATACATTTTTAATACCTACGACAGATGACTCAAACGTAGAACTCGTTGGCGTGCATAAACTATAGCAAAAGTTTTTACATTACACATTTTTTATTAGTACGTCTAAACAACAGATCATCCGATTTTAAAACATAGAACTCACTATACTTATAGTTTTCAATTTTAAAACAACGTTTTCCTCTACGCCTTTCAAAAACATTTGATACTTGAATATTCATAGTACCACAGTAAATAAAACTATTAAAATACCAGCAACTCGCGTCTCAATAACATCACACGTTCAGCTAAGCAATAGACGTATAGTAATAGTATGATAACTCAAAATGTAGCCAAAACATCCGCACACCGGTTAATCAAAAACTTTTGGGATCAAGTGTATCTTATCGGAATGTTTAAGATAAATCGCATCATTATAAGGCACTGCGAGTTACAATAATTCTATATCAGGAATAAGATTTAATTATTGTACGCAAACGATTTATCATTTTTCAGTTCGAAATTTGTATTAGCTGGTTTTCATGGTTTACGTTGTACGCAAACGAGTTTTCAGTTTCCAGGTAAAAAATAGTATACTGCGCGCCGCAAACGAGTATCACCGAATAAAATACGTATTTTGACCGACGAAATCGTGTCGATACGCTTAACAGTCGGTTCCGACGCGCTAAACAGTATCAGTGGTGGAACTAGAAATTACGCCCCGGGAAAATGGCAAAATTACACCCTATCGTAGACCAATAATCAAATGCTCTTCTCGAGAAATTTTTTCTAATCATCAATATACAATCATGCTTGTTGAGTTTTAACCTGAAATCAGTAATTAACAAAGTTAAAAATATCAAATTTGGTGTTAATAATTATAAAAATTACACCCTCTAAAATTTTACGCCCGGGGAAGAATCTCCGTCTTCCACTCGTGTGTCGAGTTTTGTACGATCATATTTTATTATTCCACCAGACCGAAATCGAGTTAGATAAACGTGATGTGGATTCGAAATGATCGCAGCAACAGCTACGATAAAAACAACAACCTGTTTTCAATATGTATTGTCGTACCGCAGCCAGAATTTCATCGGGGCAAGGGTGGGTCTAAATAAATGCAATTTTCCTAATTGAAATTAAAACCTTTTATTATCATAAATAATTTTAAAAACAGTATTCTTCTCAGGGCCGATTTTAGGAATTTGAGACCAGGGATTAGCAATAAAAAACGCCTTATTATACCAAATACAAATGTCTGCGGGTTAAAAAAGATCTTTCTGAAGACAACTGAAGAACGATTCGTTGCTGGTGTAAACAAAAATATTCTAAGTGCAATGTCAACATAAAGATAGATTGTTTGTAAATCTTTGGATCTATCGACAGTACTCGACCGTTACCGAGTGTGTGTGTGTGTGTGTGTGTTCGTGTGTGTGTGTGTGTGTGTGTGTGTGTGTGTGTGTCGTGCCGCCGTGATTGGTGATATATATATTTTTTTGAGATATATTTTTTATTTTGTAAGTTTCACTTCAAAAATATTAGATCATTAAATATTGAAAATATAAAAAAATTAGCCGCCCTCTTGTATTAGTTGACCGGGGAAACAGCACCCTGTAACTCCCCCCCCTTAAATACGGCCCTGATTCTTCTTTCGTTTAACAAATCTTTTGGTTTTAAATTTGAAGTATTCTATTTAAATTTAAATTACAAAGGATTACGATCTATGGCTTGGTAAAGAAAAAATTAAGGGAGGTGTCTAGATCCTATTAACACGTGTCTGCTTACTGTTATTAATAAATAGTATGTTTTCGTTTTTGTTCTCGACTAGTAATTTCCATGAAAAAATTAGTCTAATAACTATTCAGCATAGTTTAAAATATTTTGCTGCCACTGGATGTAACGTATACTTCATTTATTTTTATTTTGATATTTCAAAACTGAGGGTGAAAAAATTCAAATCTGTCACTTTACATCGTGTTATAATTGTTCAAAAACATCATTTTCTTCTTTGCCATTAAACTAATAAATAATATCTAAAAAGAAAATAATTACTAAGTAGAGGTATATGTAAACATCGAAAATGTTAAATGTGTCTATCGTAAATATTTCAAAATGTTTTCAATACAATGTATAATATTTCTTTATTAGTTTTATATTTAAATATGTATTACTTGTTTTACAAACACTTAGCTTCATAAACTGTACGAGAATTTCCGAAATACGTAATTGGTCATTACAGAATATTTTCTTGAGAATTTATATCATTATGTTTATGTTTTTTTTCACGATCTTTTAAATTAGTATTTGCATTAACTATTATAAATCACTCGGAAATTCACATATGGTTCATTTTTAATGAAAAAAAAAATACATATGAGTTTAGTTCGTAGATGATAATGATAATAATGAAAATATTAATAATATTGTTATAATATTACGAAAAAAATATAAGATTGAAATTTCGATACATAATATTATAATATTTTTTTACGGTATGTATATTGCTAGTAACTGCCATGCTAAGTCGACCTTTAGTAGAACGAAATACATTAATTCACCTATAAGCTAGAAAATCTGTAACACTAAAATGTATACATAAGATATAATATATATAATATGGTTGAAAAGCACAGGTAAAATACGTTGAAAAAAAAAACAAAATGAGGGTTTACAGCGAAGCGCATAAGATTTTAAATAAGAATAAAGAGTATAATATAATATAATGTATATACTTCTGACAAAAGGTGTATTTAATTCACATCAGAATCGTTGTGGTATTCTGCATTCAAGGCATTCTGAAACAAATTCCAATGAAGGTTTCATGTTAGACTTTTTGTTTATGCACGTACAATAATAATAATAATAATAAATAAAAGATATTGGGTTAAGCAAAATCCCCAGTGACCAAAAGAAATATTCCTCAAGGACATGTTTCTGGTCATTGCATGTTATTGAACAAAAATGTAATCCCATTTTATTAAATATTTTACAAGCATTATTAAAACTGTTAAAATTGCATTTGCAAGCAAAAAAAAATACAAACACCTTTTTGATAAAAAATTATAAAAGTATGATTTAATAAAAATTGTGAGACTTAAATATAAAATAACAATTTGAAATTAAAACAATTCTTCAAATTTTTACTTTCAACGATTTTTGGTAATGTATAAGAGAGTTCACTGTTATTGTATTCATAATAAGTAGATTTTTACTCTTTATTGTTTTAAAATAAAAAAATTGAACATTTTCACGTAAATCAGTTAATTGTTATAAATTCTCAACATTTCATTATTTCCATTTCATTATTGAAGCTGAAAAATCATGGAAAACGTAGATTACTCGTAATTTTACGATCACTTACAAAGTGACGATGGTTTAGATTTAAAATTCAGTTTCAATAACTGAGTAATAATTTGTTTGCGTTTATCATAGTTAAATAATGTTATCAAATCTCTCGTTAGTGCTCAAATGTAGGTCAATAAAAATAGCTTTTCGTATGGCGTTCAATTTAATATTTTAACTACAATTTAGAATTTATTTACACATTTATTCTAAGAAAACATTATAAGTATTAAATCTTCCAGAAATTGTTAAACGATGTATACTTTCCGTTAGCTATAGAATATTGCATGTTATTTAATGTCTAACCTTACATCTGTTCAGGTGGAGGAGAAGAAAATATTTCAAAAAAAAATTAAATGTTTTACTTAAGTATTAGATTCTGATTGAAGTAAGGAATGTACTTTTTGTGTTTATTTTAGTAAAACATAAGAGGTCTAAAGAGGTTATCGTACGCAACGTGTATTAGTATCTAACGTGATTACCATATTACAAAATTATTTCGTACATCGATTAAAATTGAAATGGATACGGACAAAGAAAATAAAATAATCCATTTATCATAGATATCTGTTTGTTTTGGTATCAAACGATAGCTTGTTACTTTTAAATTTTTCTTCCGTGCAAGTCAAAAAAAAAAAAAACATGACCAACAATAAAAATTGACATTAATAAAATTACATTTCGTACAAACGCAAATAACTTGAATTTACATTATAATGTATTGAATGTATATTGGAGATATACACTAACAATTAAATACATTTAGGTTTAATGGAAATGAAACGCGATTTTATAAATTTTCAAATGAAAAAATAAACATTTGATACGGCATAGAAAGTAAATCATAAATGCTTTGAGCATGTATTTTATATTTTGCCAGTTTAACACTAATGTTTCTAACAGGTCGCATTGAAATTCAAGTGGGTGAATATTATTTATACATCAATATAATAGTTTCTACGTTCCTCGCAGCAGTTAAACTAAACAAATGCTTATGAATATTTAAATATTACAGATTTATTTTGTTTAATACTTATACGCATGTATATATAACGAATAGGTACGTAATTAAATTAAGATACTTCAACTTTGTATTTTTCCGTTAACAAAATAAATAAATTTATTATTTATTTCCTTTTAGATTTTTAAAATGACGCATTGCTATATTATTTTAAATAATATGAAAAAGTTTTCCAACAAATTATACATTAAACACCTAAAAAATCATTTTTACAAAATGTTCATTAATCATTAGCCGTTTGGCATTACCGTATGCGTGTTTATAGGTGTAATATACAACTATGATGATGGTAAAATACAAATAATTATTACGAATTCAAAGTTTTTATGATTAAATTATTAACTATGGCCGTCACTAAATTTCAGGGTTTTCATTTAAGTCAAATCATATTTATAAATTAATTTAGTGAGACGGAACACATGAGCGTTTTATACTTTATATTTTTCGAGTTTTTGTTAAAATTATAAAAAAAAAAAAAATCCAGAACTTGAATGCTTATAACTTTATACAACCATTGATTATAAATACTATAGTGTTTATATAGTATTTATATTTAATCATGTTATTAACTTGTGATAGTGTATAAAAATACATTATTTATAAAATTGAGTTTCAACATAAATTTACTAAAATAAATAGCGATGCTATAATTAGCATCTCATTGAAATCATACAAATATTCTATTCGAATAACTAAATCGATTAAATTTTATTAAACAATATTAAAACCAATAACATTAATTCGTGCAAGAAAACTGTCGGTGAATATTCAAATCGTAATAGTTTTTCGAAAAGGATCGAACAAATAAAACAACAAAATCTGACACGGTCGTAGAACGTGTGCCGGAAAAAAGTTCGTATTACATTCATGTTAAACACTTATCGACGTTGGAATATATCAAATCGATTGTTCAAATCAAACGCATTACATAGATTTGGTAAAACACAATCATCTATGTACATATTAATAACAGCTATACGTAGATTCTACGTTTTGAAAATTCTAATTCTCGCTGACCAAGGATTTGAAACTACGACATTTCAATGGCACACTACGAATAAATCGCGCAATTTATTTGTAATATATTTTTAATTTAATCGCTATCGCGTCCGTCTTTTTCAACAGGATTTCCCTTGAAAACACGAGGGTGTACTTCCGACAGCGTCGCAGGTGCCTACGTCCTACACCACGCTTCTATGCGCTTATTGTTTTTCTCGGAACGCTCTCGCCGACGAACCTATTTACTTTTGTAATTGCATTTATAATGCTTTGTGTTACGTCACGAACGTTTACGTTTCAGCTCCGACGTCTCGGCGGGGCACGCGCGTGCGATGGGAATAATTGGATTTCAAAAGCAAAACTGTATAATATAACAATGATATCAGCTTATCGGATGCCGCACGGAAACGGTATCGAACATTTACTAACGATTACCGGATATATTTTTTAATTTTTTTTTTTTTTTTTTTTTACAGAAATAAACAAAAAACGAAAAAAAAAAACCCCCGACACATCTCACCGAGAAGCGGTTTAGTCGTTCGAACGTGCGCCACCGGTCGTAGCAAGACGAAAGCGATAGCGAAACATCTGACGCCCGTGGGTCCGCGCGGTCGAAAACACCGAAGTCCTCCGCGCGCTCGTTCAAATGCGCTGCGTCGGTACGGACGCGTTCATCGTTCGACCGTCCGTTGGCGGCGCGTCTAAAGGGCAAGAAGGGTTGTGACCCTCCTCCTCGAAGCACGTTGATGACTTAACACACCTTTACCCCGTTCTCCCCGTCAAACGGCTTCCGAGATTAAATTTTTTCCAAACGCTTTTACGGTTTTACCGTTTTAAACGTGTCACGCGCACCATCAGTAGCAACCGTGCGTCGGAAAATTTCGCGATCAGCTTTGCGGTGAAGCACGGCAGTGGCGTGTTTGAAGAGGGAGAGGGCAGAGGCACTTCTAGATTGATTATCGCCAAGTAAGTAACACACCTCCTACCGACTGATGTAATGTTATCCAACACAATCATATTTGTAGTTTATAGCTTTTTTATCTACGCCCCAATAGTACAAAATCACATAACAAACATTACAATTTTTAAGCTCGTGTTAAGTGTAGTATAATGACTGATGTTAAATGTTGGCACATTAAGGGTTGTTAATATGGCTCCCAGTAAATCCAAATATTCAATATTAATAAACAAAATTAACATTAAGGTATTTTCTTCTTTGTGCTAAGGATACAATACTTGGTTTTTCTCTTGACGAAAATGATGACCAACATTTGGTACATTTTATCCTGTTATGTGGTTTTCTTCTTTCAATCTAGTCATATAAAATGTTTTGACAAACTCCGACCCCCCCCCCCTCCAAACAAAATCCTAGATCCACCACCGGCGCAAGGTCAAACGTGTCGCGAATTCCGGCATAACGCAATCATTGCATAATTTGACCCCGTGGTCCGGCCAATCGGAGACAACAGACCGTGGGTAAACACGTGCCCGCGCCGCCGACGCGATGTTTCCGTTCGATCGCCATGGGACGCGCGGACGTACGTATAGAAAACGCGTACGAAAATAGAAACAGTAATCGCGTTTTCACGCGAGTAAATAAATCACGGGGGGGGTGGGGGAAAGTATCGCGTCGAACCCATCCCGCCCGCCATCTCCTAGGGGAAAAGGAGGGATTTCGTCAGAGTTCGGTAAAACATGACCCGAGAGCGTTTTCCGTTCCCGGCCGTCCGGTCCGGAAAATTTAATAATATCGCCGAGCGTCGTCCCGTACACGTTGAGGTGCGCATCGAGCGCGAACACTGTTCTTGTAAACGTCGACGATTCGATCTCGTGCGTCTACAAATCGCAATATCTAAAACCGCATTGTTACCGATCGTGCGCGTTCTCGTTTAGCCCGCGTGAAGTGTTCACGTTACAACCGTAACACGTCGCGGACACGATATTCCTGTTTACTCGGGCCCGGACTGTCTTAACAGTGACAATAATAAAAACAATAAAACAATCAGTAGACGGTTTCAACACTGGGTTTTCCGTTGCGCGCACACCGCGGATGCTGGTCCGTTAAAAATTACGGGTGAAAAAAGGGGTCCGTCCGGTTAAAACGTTATTCGCCGTGTTCATACGGGATACGTTGTTCGATTCCGACGGACGGATCGCGAGCGAATCAAATCGCTGATGTTTTTCGCGCGGTGTCGGATACAGACATTGTCATTAAACGGTTCCGGTCGCCGACGTAATCGCTATGGTCAACTGCACCGGTCGGATCCATCGGGCCAGCAATATACTCGTGTACCGATTATGAAAGTGTGTCCCGTCGGATCAAGACTGGGTGATAGTATTTTCCTAGTGTTTTATATTTTTTTCTCCTCCGATTTTTATAGTTTGAACGTACTCATCATCGTGGTCACGTTTACACTATTATTTGCCGTAGTC